CGCATGCAGAACAGCACGTGAATTAAATGTTTAACCGGTATTGCTTTAAAGCAGATGGAAATAATGTAGTTTTGTGATTGCGCATAAGTGCAGTGTCCCGTGAGAGTAACTCTACCGCTGAACTAACACTGATGTGAATGCATGTGGCTTTGTACATTATATTGAGACGGAGGGAGGCACCAGAACTGCAGCTGACAGAATGTGCGCTGTAGCAGATACAACGATATTTCTTCAAAAGCAGATCGTGGAGGCATTTTAATCGTATATAATTTTAATCGTATATAATTTAAAATATATATGTGTATATATATTTATATATATAGTTTTGAAATGATAAGTACAGTATGTAGTATTATATAATATACTGTATATGTATAGTTAATGTTTTTATTGCTATTTATGTTATGTAACTATAAATATATAAAAAAATATGTAGTTGTGTGTGTGTAGATGTGTGTGTGTATGTATGTATGTGTATATATATATATATATATATATATCTCAGAAATATCCAATATCGATTTACATAAATTCTAATTATAAATTTATATAAACAGTCTAGTCTTGACAAAAAAGTTGTCTGTAGAGTCTGGTAACACATAATTTAGTGCTATATTTGAACTGAATGAATTTGAGATCTAAAGCAGAGCGGAAGGTTTTGAATGACTTAAATACAGATTTTTCTATTGACAGCCACAGTCTGTGCTCATAGAAGTTTCTATAACTAAATGTATTTCTAGCAGGCTTAATTCAGCGGCAATCACACCAGAAGTGATTTGAGGTTAAGTGCCTGAAACAATGACACAGAGATGATTGCTTAAGGCTCAACCATTGTAGGAATGAACCGGTAACCCTCTGGTTACCAGCCACTAGGCCACAACACCCTATGTATAATGTATGTGAAGAAGTACTGGGTGGTCCATTGATCTACACTTATAAGAGCAGCTCAGCAGCCTGCTAAATATGACACGCACACATCGCAGTGGGTTTCAGATCAGTTTCTGAGTACCTGAGATGTGTCC